TGTCCAGTTTATACAGCATAAAGTCAAACAGTCCAGACAAGAGCAGTATCTTGTCCAAATGGCTAGTCTTGCCATATTGGAAGCAAGTTCCATAACATGTGTCTTTAACGTCCATCTTCCTTTCTGACACAGGTGGTGTTGCCAGGAGCAATTGTGCCTCATTGTTAAGAAAAACCCTAAACCATTTTAAATGTCATATTCTGTAGGTCTTTGAAAAGTTTGAAGAATGTCTACCCATCTCAAATACATCACTATATATCTAGAAAACCTAACTAACTTAACTCTAAGTTTTGACTATCATAGGTAACTATCTATAATCTGTACTAATTTATACATTACATTTATAAATGAGCTATATAAACACAATACCTAAACAAGAGGATAAATATGCATATCACAAAATTGACCTAATTTTGTATCAATAAATGAAAATCCATTCCAAAACAAAGTATTCATTTCTATGCCATAGTGGGGAACAACTTTAACCCCTGCACTCGGGAGACAAAGGCAGGTGGATGCTTTTCTTTGTCTGCTCTTCAATTATTTGAATAAGACCAAGAAGAACCCTTAAGAGTAACCCTGATGACTCTGGTGGGATCCCCCAAATTTTCTGGGAACAATGTGATCTCCAAAAGGGCTTTGACAATTCTGTCTTTATGACTTTTCTGGCTGTATCCAGCATGGCCTTTTTCCTGGGCTGGTTCTGCCCGTTGCAGTGACACTATAGACATCCCAATTTCTGGCATCTTGGACTTTCTGGTATCTCTAGTGCATTTAGCATCATTTCTGTAGATACATACATTGTTTTCTCAGAGGCTGCCTATAGGGAATCTATCATCATACACATTGTCTGACTTCCCAGACTTTCCTTTAAAATTAGAATGGGGGCTGGAGAGGTGGTTAAGAGTACTTTCCAGGGGACCAAGCTTTGTTTCTCAGCACCTACAGTGCAACTCACAACCATCTGGAACTCCAGTCCCAGGGGACCTGACACCCACGTTTTGCCCTCTTAGATCACTCTTGTTTAAAACAAATCAAATAAAACAATGAAAAACAAAAAGAAAACAACCAAACCCATACACATAAAACAAACAAATAAATAAAAAGTATTGTGGAAACCCTTTGTGACCCACACCTCATGCCTGCCATATGTCTGCAAAGTCAGCATTGTGCTAAAAATAGGTTTGCTGCTAGTACAAGCAGAAACCAGACAAGCACGGCAGCAGGTTCTGTGTGTGTAGGAAGATGGAACATGGGAAGACACTTTCCTCATGGAACATGGGAAGACACTTTCCTCACCAGCCTGTGCAAGCAAGGAACCCTGGATCTCTCTCTCTCTCTTTTCATTTGAAAGCAGTCTTACAAATGAGTTTATACTTGTATTACCTTTGGTTCTATAATGGATGAAGTTCCATCATGGTCTAATCACCCTTGATGGTACCACTAGCTGAGGTACCATCCATACTAGAATGACTATCCTGTTATGCATTCTACACCAGACAGCCCCTAACTACAAAGAATCACATGATGCAAGATATTAAGTTGTTCCCAAATCAGGACATCCTGATCTCCTTTAAATAACACCCTTTTGGGTCAGAGAAAGCACCATGGGTTCTGTTTGCTCAGACATTCGGGTCAGATGTTCATGTTCTCATATATTAGTAAAGAAGCAGAGGGTTAGCAAGCCTAAGAGTTACCCCCTACTGCGACTTCCACTTGAAGTAGTGTTTCTCCAAAATGTTATTATGGGAGATGTCATTCTGTAAATATGTTTCTCTTATTGGTTAATGAATAAAACCCTGTTGGCTAATAGGAAAGCAAGATAGGTAGGACTAGGAGACTATGAGAAGAGAGGAAGAAGTAGGGAGGAGATTCAAGATATAGGACAGGGAGAACAGAATTCTGGCTCTCTCTCCGGTAAGATAAGACCATGTGGAAATACTTAGATTAATACAAATGGGTTAACATTTAAGACAGAGCTAGCCAATAAGAAATGCTAGTAACAGGCCAACAGTATTTTATCTAATACAGTGTCTCTGTGTGTTATTTGTGGCTGGCGTGGCTCTGGGACTAGGCCGGTGGGAAAAATATACTCATAACAAAATGGCGCCCAATGTGAGGCTCAAACCCGTGATCCTGAGATTAAAAGTCTCATGCTCTACCAACTGAGCTAGCATTATTTATGATTTATTATATCTTGTCTGAAGATTCAGAAAGCAAATTCAGCCTCAAATTGTAGAGATCAGGCTGTGGTGGTACACACCTTTAATCCCAGGACTCAGGAGACAGAGGCAAATGGATTACTCTGAGTTCAAGTTTATCTAGAGCTACAAGAGACTGAACCAGCCTAAAAGATAGACAGAGCTCATGTCTTTAATCCCAGTGCTAGACAGATATAAAAGATAGGAGCAGGGTCTTCAGTAGTCAGTCTCAGGATTTTCCAGTCATGTTGAGGAGAACATAGAAGTCTGAGTGTTTCTGAGGAGCAGTGAAGTTGGGAGCAGTCTGAGGATCACCTCTTTGGTCTGAGCTGAAATAGAGGTAAGAGATAGTGGCCAGCTGCTTTGCTTTTATGATCTTCAGCTTGAAGCTTGAACCCTGTTATCTGTCTCTGGATCTTCCATTTATTGTGTTACAATGTTAAGTTCTAAAATGTTTCTCATAAGTGTAAGTTAAGTATATATGGGTGTTATTGAGATGAAATACAACTTCCATTTAATTGTTTAATTAATTTTCCCTTTTATTAAAAAATTGACAGGGCAGTGGTGGTGCACGCCTTTAATCCCAGCACTTGGGAGGCAGAGGCAGGTGGATCTCTGTGAGTTCCAGGCCAGCCTGGTCTCTAAGAGCTAGTTCCACAACAGCCTCCAAAACCACAGAAAAACCCTGTCTCGAAAAACCAAAAATAAATAAATAAATACCAATTATTTATTCATTTTGTGTGTGTGTGTGTGTGCGCGCGCGCGCGCGCGTGCTTGCGTGTGTGCGTGCGTGCGCATGCAGCTTAGAAGACAACTTTTAGGAATCAGTTCTCTTTCTGCCATGTGCGTTCTGGGGATTGCATACAGGTTGTCAGCCTTGATGGTAAGCACCTTTACCCACAGAACCATCTTGGTGACCCTAGACAGCTCTTATGCAATTCAGTGTTTGGTATTCAGTTGGCCCTTGAGCAACATGTGTTTGCACAGTGTTTATTAAATAACACATTGATAATTGTCAGGGTGCACCATGTAGAGCATGTCTGTAATGGAAACGAGACCCTTCAAGGTGAGATTTTAAGGACTACGTGACAGCAGAAAAGCCCAGCCTCTCTGATGGACTGAACCCTGACCAGCCATACAAAGCCATATTTATTGATTGTTACACAAAATATTTCCTGATACCAAGTTCCCTAATCTCATTTACATGTCTTATTAAAGGAGAGCACCACATGACCTCATGATTTTAGTTCTTTATTATTATGTGTTTGCAATAAACAATAATACAAGACACTCAGGGGTGCCTGAAGCTTCTTGTGACCAAAGTCATTGGATGGCTACAATGCCCATTCAGTAAAAGAATTCTATAAATCACAGAAAACAATCACTGTTTTCCACAAGGTTTCTTCAAGGTGAAAATACTACTAAAAAAGCAGCTATTCATTCTAATATCTACCCCAATACAATGATTCTGCTAAATTTCTACAACAGATAATGTCTTTGGGGGGGTTGTCAAGAAAGGATTACTCTGTAGCTTTGGAGCCTGTCCTGGAACTCTCTCTATAGAACAGGCTGGTCCCAAACTCATGGAGATCCTCCTGCCTCTGCCTCCCCAGTACTGGGATTAAAGGCCTGTGCCACTGCTGCCTGGCAGATAATGATCAACTATGTTTGTAGTTGCATAATTTGCAATAGCAAGAGCCTGGAAGCAACCTAGATGCCCCTCAACTGAAGAATGGATAAAGAAGATGTGGCACATTTATACAATGGAATACTACTCTGTGGGAAAAAAAACAATGGAATCTTGAAATTTGCAGGCAAATGGATGGATCTTGAAGAAATCATGCTGAGTAAGGTAACCCAGTCACAAAAGGAGGAATATGGAATGTCCTCACTCATATATGGATTTTAGACATAGAGTGAAGGATCGCCAGCCTATAATTCACACTGCCAGAGAAACTAGGGCACAAGGAGGATTCTAAGAGATTCATACAAACTCCCTCACAGAAGGGGAAAGGGACAAGATCTCCTGAGCATATTGGGAGTTGGGGAGAGGCAGTGAATGGAGAGTGAGCTAGGAGAAAAAGAAGGGGAGGAGAGGAAAGCAATGGGATTAAGAAGATTGCGTCAGGGTAGGAATAGATGAGAGAAAAAGAGAGAAAGAGAGATGCCATAAAAGAGGGAGCCATTATAGAATTGAAGAGAAAACTGAACCTAGAGAAGTGTCCAGAGACCTACAAGACTGACCCCAACTAAAAATTTGAGCAACAGTGGAAAGGCTACCATAAATGCCCTTCCCTGATCATGAGATCAATGACTAACTTATCCACCATCATAAAGCCCTCATCTGGAAGGGGACACCTATCTTCAAATGCTGCAAGGGGGTCATGGGATGTTTGCTTCTTGTAGCTACCTGGGGCCTCTCTCTAAAACAGTGCCCTGAGCACCATGGAAACCACTGCTCCTGGACTTGCAAGTCCCTCAGGAGACAGTCGGACCCATTGCCCCCCTTCCTGTAGTGTCCAGATGATGCTCAGAGCTGTGACCTTGGACTCAAAGGTGTTGGGAAGCCTCAGGAGAAGGGGATAAAACTTTTAATGGCTCTGGGATTTAGTGGCCACCCACCTTTAGCACCTCACGATCCTGATTATGCCCACAACCTGCCTGCCTAGTGTTCCCAGTGTGGTCTTAGCCTCAGGTCTTTGATCAAGGGCATTTCCTACATAAAAGCCCCCTTCACTGCAAGTCACTGCCCCATTTGGGGCTGTCCTGTCACTGGCTGTCTGGCGCCTAGCTAGTAGGATGTGGCTGTGTACTCTCCTTCCTGTTCTCTTTGGCTGTCCCTCTGGGTCTGCCCCTTCTCACCCAACAGCCTGGCTGTTGCCAAGGCAGAGGCCTCACTTTGACCGTCCTGGAGATATTATGGTGGGTGGCAGCTTCTCCGTCTTTCGATTCTCTAATAGTACTCTGTCTGACTTCACTGCCCCACCAGCTGAACTGCTTGCTTCGGGGTAAGTGCTGGATATGGGGTAGGTGTCTCTGAAATCCCAAAGCAGCTTTACAAGGTTGTGTGAAGCCTTGGACAAGGGTTGGTTCTCAGGATCCCAGCTAGATGGCCATAACCTTTCTCTGTGTACATATGCAGCAGGTCTGTTGTTTGCCTTTTCCATCACCTCTGTGTCTGTCTGTCAGTCATTCTTGTTTATAGCAGACTGAAATATAGGCTGCTCGTGTACTGGTTGTAATGAATGTGTTCCACAGGTCCAGTGGGTATTCTTGGTTCTTTTATACGTCCTTGTTTCTTAAAACAATGCCTAGACAGGTATGTTTGTTGAATGCATTAATGTGTAACTAATAGATCTTCCATCAGTTATCAGCCCCACAATTCCTCTCTACTGTATTCCTGTTTTTGATTATTTTTGTTTGTTTGTTTGCTTGCTTGCTTGCTTGTTTTTTTTTTTTTTTTTTTTTTTTGAGACAGGGTTTCTCTGCATAGCCCTGGAACTCTCTCTCTCTGTGACATGGCTGGCCTCAAACTCCAAGAGATCCCCTGCCTCTACCACTGGAGTTCTGGAAATAAAGGTGTGTACCACCACAGTCAGCTACTGTATTAATTTCACGTGTAATTTTTTTCTAAGAGTCTCATGTAGCCTCTAATTCACTAGGTAGTCAAAGATGACCTTGAATTTCTGAAGGTTTCCAATTATTCCTGTCTCTACCTACTGGGTGCTGGGATTATAGGTCTGTACCTCCACACTCAGTTTATGAGGTGATGCAGATGAAACTTACAAACTGAGCCATGGACACAACCCTTCCTTTGCCCATTTTTGTCCTAGCCTTTCCAGCTGTTGCACACAGTAGTTCCAACACAGTCTTTTTGGTTATTATTGGTTTTTAAATGTCTTTATTTAGTGTCATTTTTCTTAATTGGCTGCGTATGGAGTGTAGGACTCTACTTCTAGCACTCAGGGAGCTGAAACAGGAGTATTGATGATTTCAGGCCAGATTGGAGTCCATAATGTGACTTGAGTTAAAAATAGTTGTTAAGAGTGTTTTCTAAAGTAACTATGATCATTTTGTATTCAGTCACAAATGCAAGAGATTTTTCTCTTCTGCATTTTCACATTTAACATCACTTTAAATGACTAGTTTTATGAGACAGGATCTCACTTTGTGGTCTGACTAGCCTGGAATTCCTTGTGTAAGTTCTGGCTATCACAAACTCACTATCTTCCTACATCCCCAGCTTCAGGGCTGGAATCGCAAGTGTGTGTCATCATACCTGGATACCATGTTATTTTTTAAGCCAGTGAATAATAATTGTATGTAATGGGTACAGAGATGTATTTTAATAAATGTATACATTATGGAATTATTAATTAAGCTCCCCAAACAGACCCATCACTTTCCATACTTTTTTGGTGCTAATAACATTTAAAATCTAACATAGGAGACAGAGATGGGAGAATATGAAAGTGGAGGTCTTAGGGTCTGGGGAAATGTCTGAGTTGGTGATGTGTCTGCCGTGTAAGCATTAAGCCCTGAGTTTGATTCCAAGTGCCCATTTGAAATCATAGCATGTTTAGCATCTGTATCCCTGGTTAGGAGCAGAGAGACAGATTCTAAAAGTCACTGGCCAGCCAGATTATCTGAATGTATGAGTTCCAGGTTCGGTGAGATAAACTGTCTCAGAAAATGAGATGGAAGGGGGGCCAGGGCGATGGCACTCGGCATGCAAGGCTGATGGATGACCTCAATCTGAACCTTTCCTGAAACCCACATCAAGGCGGAAGGAGAGAATTGACTCACTAATTTTTTCCATGACCTCCATATGCTGCAGCATGTGTGGCTCTACGGACACATCATACAGACACATGCACACAACAATGTGCAGACACCTGCATCTGCCATGAGATCTTGTCTGCAGTGTTTGAGTCCTGTCCTGACCCAGCATTTCATATTTCTTCTCCCCTACTTCTGGCTCTTACTTTTAGCAATTCTGAAATAGATGTTAGTTACTAAATATTGTAGCCAGCCATGCTATGCAGTACTTTTTTCTCTGTTTCCTTGAGATAGAGGCTCTCTATCTAGTTCTGGCTATGTAGACCATGGTGGGTTCCAACTCAGGAAGATCACCTGCCTCTGCCTCCTGGGTGCTGGGATTAAACAAGTGTGCTACCAGCTTATTCAATAGATCTCCAGTTATCCCTCCCATATTCTGAAAGTCCCCCATCTGATTACTGTCTCCACACCACCTCTGGCTTCCCATGGAATATTCTGGACTGTGCTCCTGTGCACATCTGTGTACAAGTATTTGTGGAGATGTATGCTTTTCCTTGTGTCCCATGAGTCACTGTGTTTATTCTTGTCCCATTTACCACATCATGAGTAATAATATGGGCTTCTCTCTCCCTCAGAGTTTCCCAGTGGGGCTACCGGGTGGCCCAGAGTTTTGTCTTTGCCATCGAGGAAATTAATAGGAGTGCTCACTTGTTGCCTAATTTGACCCTTGGCTTCTCCATTCGAAACTCAGGGGATTCAGTGCATGGAGCCGTCCATGAGACTATGAGCCTGCTCACAGGGCAGGAGGAGCCCATCCCCAACTACACATGCCAACATCGCTCACCACTGGCTGCGCTGGTTGGGGACACAAGGTCATCCCTGTCTGTCTCCATGGCCAGACTTCTGGGGCTGTACAGGTTTCCCCAGGTGAGTTGCTCAAAGCCTTCTTAATTTGTGAGTATAGTACAGTTCCTCACTGTTGACAGTGAAAATGATGGTGGTGGTCACAGAAGTGAGCAGCTCTACTGTGGAGACAGGCTCCCTGCAAATATTCTTCATGCCCAACATGGTTTTCCTGCATGTATAGCTATATTAGACAAAACTATTATTCCCCTGCATTGACAAAAAACTGGGACTTTTTAAAATTAAAATGCATATTTAAAGGTTTTGGTGGTTTGAAAAATGGCTCCCAAACGCAGTGACACTATTAGAAGATGTGGCTTTGTTGGGGTAGGTGTGATCTTGTTGGAGGAAGTGTGTCAGTGTGGAGGTGGGCTTTGATGTCATCTGTGCTCAGGTTGACACTGCCCTTCCTGTTGCATGCCTATCAAGATGCAGAATTCTCAGCTCCTGTCCCAGGAACATGCACACCTACATTCTGCCATGTCCTGGCACGATGGCAATGGACTAAACCTCTGAAACTGTAAGCCATCCAATTAAATGTTTTCCTTTGGAAGAGTCGCCATGGTCATGGTTTCTCGTCACAGCAAAAGAAACACTGAGGCAACAATTTACTTTTTCCAAATGTGTATGAATATTTTGCCTTCATGTATAAATATATAGCATATGTGTGCCTGGGTTCCATGGAAGTCAGAAGAGGGCATTGCATTCCCTAGCACTGGAATCACTGATAGTTTTTAGCTGCCATTTGAGTGTTAGGGATTGACTCAGTTTGTAGGGTTTCTGAAATTTGTGTTGTTGTTGAATTCCAACTTTAAAGCATGCTAGTTTGATAAGATGCAGGGGACTATTCCAGTTTTGTTTTGTTTTGTTTTGTTTGTATCTGTTGGGTTTGTTATGTTGCCTCCTATGTGGCCGATTTTAGAGGAGCTGAGAAGAAGGTATATTCTTTTGTGTTTGGATGGAATGTTCTATAGATGTCTGTTAAATCCAATTGGGACATACCTTCTGTTAGTTCTTTTGTTTCTTTGTTAAGTTTCTGTCTGGTCCTGTCTAGTGGTGAGAGCGGGCTGTAGAAATCTCCCACTATTAGTGTGTGTGAGAGTCAGACCAAGCCTACCTGTGGTGCAGGAATAAAATATTAGGGACAGGTGAAGTACAGATGCTGAGAGGAGAGCAGGTAAAGCTACGGATCTGGGCTCCATTTCAGAAGCCACAGGACTGTGTCTGGGATGATCAGCAGTGAGGGGCACAGAGATTCTTCTAGAATCAGTACAATTCTCAGAGTAGGATGCTCAAGCCCATTTCTGAAAATTATTAATGTTTTAAAACTTAATATACATTTAGGTGCGTATGTCTGTTGAGTCTATGCCACAGATACAGGAGGAAGCCGGGGAAGGATATCTGATTTCCTGGAGCTGGAGTTACAGCAAATGTGATCCACCTGATGTGGGTGCTGGGAATTGAACTTGGGCCTCTAAAAGACCCACAAGGACTTTCAACTGCAGAGCCATGTCTCCACTCTCCTCCTTCTACATTTAATCCAGACCATCAGCCCACACCTCAGTCCTGATCTCATCCACTCTTTATTTCCTGGCTCTTCCCTGACAGGTCAGTTACTCATCCTCACTACCCAGCCTCAGTGACAAGATCCAGTTCCCATCTTTCTTGCGGACCCTGACTAGTGACCTCAGATCATCTCTTGCAGTGACCCAGCTGATAATTCACTTTCGGTGGTCCTGGGTGATCATTCTGGCCCATGACGATGATTTTGGGCAGCAGGCCAGCTCTCTGGCCAATCAGGAGCTGAGCCCAGCCGGTGTGTGCATTGAGTACACTCTCCATGTCCCTTCCCATGAGTCCTTGGGGAAGATTGAAGAGATTGCCCAGAAGATGCAGAAATACACAGCCAGGGTTGTTCTGGTTTTCCTAAGCAATTCTAATTTCCAACTCATCCTGTATGGCTTACTGGACACCACTGTGTCAGGCCAAGTCTGGGTCAGCAAGGGCACTCTACACATGGCACTAGCCCTGGCCATTCCAGGCATTTCCCAGGTACTGCATAGCACATTTGGTCTTCTGTACCACAGCAGCAGTGCAATTGGCTTCCCTGAGTTTCTTGGTCACCTGCGCCCCAGCCAGGCCCCAGGAGACGTGTTCATAAAGAAGTTCTGGGAGTCTACCTTTGATTGTACATGGCCCCACCAGAGCAGCCCAGTAATAGAGGGTGTTCAGTTGTGCTCAGGAAATGAGAGTCTGAAAAACAAGCTGTACCCTTTCCAAGAAGTGAGTAAAATTGATGCTGCTTACACAGCTGTCTACAGCATTGCCCATGCTCTGCAAGATATGATTGACTGCGAGCACCAGGATGGGAAAGGTAGAGATTCCCAGGCCTTCCAGCACTGGCAGGTAAGAGAGGCAGTTGTGCAGGGATGGATGGGGAAGAGGACTTTGGTTCTGACTAAGCTGTAGAGGTGAAGCTGACTATATGCTTTAGCAACTGACAGGCATCTTAGAAGGAATAATGGACAAGTATTCCAAGGTAGCATGTGATCTCAGATGAGTCCATTCCCTGGGTATTGCCTGACTTAATAAATAGAGGATGCCTAGTGAAAATTAGTATTCCTAAGAACAGTAAATAGATTTTTTAATATCCCAAATTTAAGCTTTGATAAACAGTGGGTGAGTTTTAGTATAATCATGCTGCAAATCAGAATTTCAAACTGATATCAAATGCCATTTCTTTTTTATTTTTCCTTCTTTTGGTGTATGGTATATGAATGTGAACACGTGTGTGTGTACATGGAAGTGCATATGGTGGGGTGCACACTCATGCATACATACATGTGGGAAGGCCTGGGGATGATGAGAATTCACCTTTCAATCACTAAACTCCAGAAATTGTTGATGTGTCTAGTCTTGGTAGCCAGCTTGTACTGTGCATCTCCTTTCTCCACCTTTTTTGTGTTTGTACTATTATAGCTTTTATCTTAGTATTTTTTTTATTGAGCTATATGTTTTTCCCCACTTCTCCCTCCCCTTCTGACCTCTCACTTTCCACCCTCCCCCGTGTCCCCTACATTCCCTATTTACTCAGAGGTTCTTGTATTTTTCCCCTTCCTAGGTGGATCCATGTATGTCTCCTGGAGTCCTCTTTGTTACTTTGTTCTCTGGGCCTCTAGGCTGGTTGTCTTTGCTTTATGTCTAATAAAGTTCATATTATATTTGTCTTTCTGGGTCTGGGTTACCTCACTCAGGATGGCTTTTTCCAGTTCTATCCATTTGCCTGCAAATTTCAAGATGTCATTGTTTTTTAAAACTGAGTAGTACTCCATTGTGTAAATGTACCACATTTTCCTTATCCATTCTTTGTTTGATGGACATCTAGGTTATTTCCATGTTCTGGCTATTACGAATAATGCTGCTATGAACATTGTTGAGCAAATGTTCTTGTGGTAGAATTGAGCATCCTTAGGGTATATGCCCAAGAATGGTAATGTTGGATCTAGAAGTAGATTGATTCCCAATTTTCTTTGAACCACTATGCAGATTTCCAAAGTGGTTGTACACGTTTGCACTCCCACCAGCAATGGAGGAGTGTTCCCCTTTCTCCACATCCTTTCCAGCTTAAGCTGCCATCAGATTTTTTTGATTGTAGCCATTCTGATCAGTGGAAGGTGATATCTCTCAAATTTGTTTTGATTTGCATTTCTCTTATGACTAAGGATGTTGATCATTTCTTTAAGTATCTTTTGGTCATTTGAGATTACTCTGTTGAGAGGGTTTTGTTGTTGTTGTTTTAGATCTGAACCCCATTTTTTATCAGATTATTTGGTAGTTTGATGTTTAGCTTCTTCATCCATCTGTCAGATGTTGGGTTAGTAAAGATCTTTTCCCATTCTGTAGGGAGCTGCTTTGTCTTGTTGACCATGTCCTTTGCAATCCAGAAGCTTCTCAGTTTCAGGAGGTCCCATTTATTCATTGTTTCTCAGTGTCTGTGTTACAAGTGTTATATTTAACAAGTGGTTTCCTGTACCAACACATTCAAGGCTACTTTCCAATTTCTCTTCTATGAGATTCAGTGTGGTTGGTTTTACATTGAAGTCTTTAAACCATTAGTACTTGAGTTTTGTGCATGGCGATAGATATAGATCTATTTCCATTCTTTTACATGTCAGCATCCAGTTACGCCAGCACCGTTTGTTGAAGATACTCTCTTTTTTCCATTGTATAATTTTAGCTTCTTTATCAAAAATCAGGTGTTCCTAGGTGAGGGAGTGAGTGAATTGATGTCAGGGTTGATGCTTCAAGGCTTCTTGCTCAATTGCTGACACTTGTCTCCAAGCTTCAAATCCCAGGCTGTAATTAGAGATGGGCTGTTACATCCCTTTGACATTTAGTTGGGGTCAGAGGTTTGAATTCTCATCCTCAATGTTTTATGACAGGTGGTTTAGTCATGGAGCCACCTCCTAAGCCCTTACTTATTTTTCTATTTTAAAAATATTATTAATAATTTAATACATGTATATAATACAGTTTGGTCATTTTGTCCCCAGTCTTTATATCTTCCTTCCTTCCTTCCCTCCTTTCTATCCATCTATCTTTTTTCTCCAAGCAACTCGGGGTAGCATAGATTCAGATTTTAAGAAGATCCCTGAAAGATATGATGAGGTCAACAATGAGAGTGGTGGCTAAGAAAGGGGTATGTTTTCATCACCATCATTCAGGTGACCTGAATTTCTACTATGTCCCTGGTAAAGATACACATGGTTGGAAACTCCAAGGACAATGATAGTTGTTGGCATTTTGGTTGATGGCGACAGATTAAAATTTACAGAAGGCATGTTGGTGGGCCATACCTGTCATGCTAGCCTTCAGGATGTTGAGGCCAACCTGGTCTACAAAGCAAGAGCCTGTCACACTAAAAAAAAGGGTGATTGTCAAAATGTCTGTGTGTACTCTATGATGACAATATAATAAAGTAAATTCAGTGGGGAGTGAGTGAATGGAAATGACAGGCTGGAGAAGTGATTTCTGTCTGGATTTATGAGTTCCAAACAAGAATAAGAGAAGTCTCATCATGGAAAGAAGTGATATCATCGCAGGAGGCAGGGACAGCATGTGTCAAGACTCTAGAACGGAGACAAATAGGAGACCATCATGTATGGGACTGACGAATTGTGGGAAACTGGTCAGAGTGATTGGGTGGTCGAGGTGGGCAGGGGCCAGTCTGTGGAAGTCTTGCTAGGGTTTGGAGTCTACATAGAGTCATGGGAAGACTGAAGACAGTAGTGCAAGGCCAAATGAGATCCTGGTGCAGGAATCACATTGTCATGTTTGGGGGGTTTAATTTTAAGGCTGTTGAGAAGTCTCAGTGGGTAAAGGCTCTTGTCTCCAAGCATGAGTTGGATTCCTGAGTACCACATGGCAGCAGAAAGAGAGAACATTCCTGAGAGTTGTTTTCTGGATTCCATAACATGACATACACACACACACACACACACACACAGAGAGAGAGAGAGAGAGAGAGAGAGAGAGAGAGAGAGAGAGAGAACTAGGTTTAAAAATGATGTGGATTAAGTTTTATTAATTATTACTTTCTGAAGATGGACCATGTTCCCGAGTCCCTGAAAATATCACAGGTATTTGTTTTTCCTCATGCCTAATGGGCCCAGTCCATGGTTGAAATGACTGTATCATTGCATAGGTGAATGGCATGTGGTATTTTGGACAAGACTCCAGACTGGCCGTGGTTGATCTACAATGTCTCCCTTCCTTCTTCAGCTGCTTCACGCCCTCAGGAAGGTGCACTTCAAAACTCCTGATGGAAGTGAAATTATGTTTGATGCTAATGGAGATTTGGTCACAAAATTTGCCATTTTCCAAGGGCAGAAGACCCCCGAGGGTGTATTTCACTTAGCTCACGTAGGAATGATCAACCCTCAAGTCTCTTCGGGTAATAAAATGATGGTCCATTTGAAGGAGGATCTCCAAGTAAGTTGCCTGATTGCACAGTTGACTATTTTCCTAGTGTGTTAAAGTCATAGGGAAATCCCAGTTCTGGAGGTCCTCATTGCTACATGTGCATGAAGTTGATGCAATTCTAGATTAGGCCAGTCAGTTATAACTGGCTGTGCTGTTTACATCATAAGAGTTCTTTCTCTGAATGATATTGATTAACAATAAAAATGAGAATATAAAAGCTGTGTATTGGGAGATGGCTCAGTGGTTAAAGTATTTGTTTCTGCAAATAAAAGGACCAGACTTTGGATCTCTAGAATACTGAATGGGCAGTGGAGTTCTCCTGTAGTTTCAGCCTTGGAAGGTGGAGATAAGGAGATGCCCATAGTAAGCTGGCTAGTAAGACTAGCCCTATCAGAGACTTTGGGTTTTCCTTTGAGCCTCTGCCTCAGTGAAAACTGTGAAGAAGCCATTGAGGATGGTTCTCAGCATTAACCGTGGGCCTTCACATGCAATTGTCCATAACTGAACATGAGCCCACATAGATTTACAAATGCACATACACATATTTATACTGTACCCACAAAAAATGGGGGAAAAGTATACCAGGCTCACAAATAGAATGAGAATTTGCAGCTGTTGCTCCCTTGGGAGTGTTTCAGTGTCTGTGTTCAGGACCAGCTTTGAGAAGAGGAAGATAATGACCCACTATGTTAAACACATTTACAGGGGCCTTGTGGAAAATGGATGCAACAGACACCCAGTTTACTTGCTAAGTTGATTTATTTCAGCTCCCATAACAAGTACCTGAGAAACAGTTTGAAGTGAGGAAAAGATTTAATTGCCTCATGGTTTGAGAGACCCATGGTCAGATGCAACCATTGCTTTGGGGGGGGTGTGGTTGAGGCAGCATGATATGGCAGCAGGCTTGTGTGGTAGAAGAGTTTGCCGAGTTTGTGGGGCACAGATGTGGGGAGGTAGAGAGCTTGATGGATAGGTAAACAAGTTACATCTTACCTGTGTACAGTCCCAGTGACTCACTCCCTCCAACTAGGTCCCATGTTCTATTTTCAGTATATACACAGTTCATCAAAATGTGTATCCACTGAGTAATTAATGCATTGATTATGTGAGAGGTGTTGTCTTAGGGTTTTCTATTGCTGTGAAGAGACACCATGGTCATGGCATCTCTTATAAAGGAAAAACATTTCATTAGGTGGCTGATATTTTCAGACATTTATTTAGTTCATTTTCATTGAAGTGGGACCTTGTGGCATGCAGGCAGACATGGTAGTGGAGAAAGAGCATAGATTCCCACATCTGGACCTGTCAATAACAGGAAGTTAGCTGGGACACTGGGCATGTCTTGAGCATACATGAGACCTCAAATTCTATCTCCACAGTAACACACTTCCTCCAACAAGGCCACACCTATTCCAACAAAGCCACACCTCCTAATAGTGCTCCTCCCTATGAGCTTCTCCCTATGTATGAATTACATTCAGCCACCACATTCTACTCCATGGTCCCCTAAGCTTGTACAGTATCATAATGTAAAGTGCATTTAGTCCAATTTCCAAAGTTCTCACCATCTATCACAGTTGAAATAATGTTTCAAACCCTGAAGTTCAAAGCCTCTGCAGAGGTTAATGCCAACTCTTAACTGTAATCTCCTATAAAAATCAAAGTAAAAAAAAATACAGATCACACACTTCCAACATATAATAGTACAGGATGCTACATTAGCGTTCCAAACCATTTAAAAGGGACATAGTGAGGAAATAATGGAGGAAAGAAAAATTGAAAACCAGATGGGCAAACTATAAACTGCATCTTCATGTTAGATATCAAAATGCACTTTCCAACTCTGTTGACTTCAATACACTTCTGTCTCTTGGGATGGTACCACTCCATTTTAGTAGATTTCCTCAGCAGACATCCCCAGGCTCTGGCATCTCCGAAATGTTTGGGTCTCCAGGGCAATCCAGGCTTCACATTCACAGCTTCACACAATGGCCTATCTAGGCCTCCATTTACGGTCTACCCTGACAGAGTCCTGTCCTCCAAGACTTTCCTTAGTCTCAGAATAAAATTCTATAACCTCTTTCTCCTATCCTTAATATCATAACCATGTGACCAAGCTTTCAAGTTCTGCTTGTTATTTGGGCTGGAATATGGCCACTTCATTCAATTACATCTTCACAAGCTTTCTGTTTTTGACAGTTCTATTCACCAACTAAGATTGACTGTCCTAAAACTTGATCTGTAGATCTGCCTGGTTTCAAACTCAGAGATCTGCCAGCATCTGCCCTCTAGGATCAGGGATTAAACGTGTGCACCACAACATCTGACTCTAAGCTTTTTTTTTATTTAATTTTATATAACAAAGTCCAATTAAATGAAAACAAACATTTATACACAATATTTGGGAATTTGGGCATCGTTCTTTCCAAACTACTTCCTGCTGGTAAGGGCGCTGTCTTGGGGGATTCGAAGAAGATTCAGATATCCTAGCTGTAGTCTGTAGGGCTGTTTTGTCCAGCTGTTTGGAATGTAGGATCAGCTTGTACTCTGTTTCAGGCGGTCTGGTGTGATCAAATCACATTAGTCTGTAAGGAGTCCACATCTTATCATTTTCTGTGGAAACAAAAATGACTCTAAGCTTTTTAAAAATTCTTTTCAGGAGTTGGAAACTTAGCTGGGAGGGATCTTGCCCTGATACCACACTCTCTTTATTCCATTTCTTAATCTGTTTATCACCTTGAACATGGGACTTAGCTCAATTTCAGTTCCTGGTGATCATTTTCTCCTCAGATTTTAGATTTTGTTTTCTTTCTTGTTCAGGTTGCTCCTTTTCATTATAAATCTTCATTACAATTAACACAACTAAACACACAACAAAATATATATTAGGCTTTTTGTGATTTCTCCTGCCAAAAGAATTAATCCAAAACCCTCCACATTAGCCTCAGGCAGACTTTGGACAAGGGCAAAAAGTAGCCACCACATTATTCACCCAAATATCCTAAGAACCCCAAGAACAATCTCTAGGCCACACATTCCTATTCTTCTCCTCTGAAGCTTCTTGAGCCATGCCACAGTTCATCTAATCATACTCAGCACCTTGGTCTTCCATGCCCCTACTAGTATGTCCCATTAAGCAGCACCCACAGCTTTCAACTCCTTTACTAATCTACTCTCCCACAGTCCATATTTCTTCAAACAAAAGCATAGTCCAAACCTATCACTTCAATATCCTAGTGCCAGGTACCAACTTATGTCTTAATTGGGGTAATTTTTATTGCTGGGAAGAGACACCATGACCACTGTTTTTGGTTGTTTTTGTTTTACTTTTTTACTCTTTTGGCTCTTTGCTCTTTGAGGTGCCTAACACCCAGCTACCAAATTAATGCATGTGGAGACTTATTCTTTCTTATAAATTCCCAGTCTTAACTTGACCTACTTCTAGGCAGATCTTCTTAACTTAAATTATCCCATCTACATTTTGCTTCTGGGCTTTCATCTTTCTCTATTCCTGTATATCTTTCTTTACTTCTTTCTATGAGACTTGCTGTGTAGCTGGGTAGGGGGAACGTGATGGCCTTCTTCTTCCATTTTTCTTGCTCCTTAATCTCTACCTCCAGATTTCTCATCCCATTTATTCGGTCTTCCCCTCAGCCCCAACTATCCCTCTCCTACCTTGCCACATTATAGACCAACCAGGTGTTTTGGATGAACAAAGTACACAGCATCACCGGGTTAAACAAATGCAACATAAAAGAATGCACCACATATGTGCATAATTAAGCAAATGTTCCACAGCATAAACAAATGTAATACATCTTAAACTATTCTACAAGAGACCATGGCATCTCTTATGAAGGAAAAACATTTAATTGAGGTGGCTTACATTTTCAGAGTTTTAATCCATTATTTTCTTGGTGCAACATGGTGGCATGCAGGCAGACATGAAGCTGGAGAAGGAGCTGAAAGTCCTAGATCTTGACCTGCAAGCAACTGGAAGTGAACTGGGTCACTTGGTGACTTGAACATATATGATACCCCAAAGACCCCACCTTCACAATGACACACTTCCTCCAACAAGACCATACCTATTGCAACAAAGCCACATCTCATAACAGTGCCTCTCCATGTGAGTCTGTGGGGGCCAATTACACTCAAACCACCAGAGTCATTAGGATGAAATTATTCTTTAAATCCCCTACCAGGTAACCAGTGGTCCAACACTGGAAACTTTGGGAAACACTGAGATTCAAACCCTGACATTTATTAACAAATGTAGAAGCAGTGTTGAGATAGGTATGTCTACATGTGGAGCTGCTGTATAGAAATGTCTCAGCTTTCTGCCTTATGACAGTGGACAAAGAGTCCCCTCCTCTGAAACTTTGTGTAACTTTGTTTTGATGGCATCTCCAATCAATGGTAGCCTTAAGGCTTTCCACATGACAACGAGGTTCTATTCTTAGATTTCTCAAGCATAAATGCTAAGTATTTATAGGATCCTTTTGAAGAACCTTTCAATGGCCTTCATCTGGGGAGGGTTTTTGTTTTGTTTTCTGTTTTTTGTTGTTGTTGTTGTTTGCTGTCTTCTGTTGTGGCAGAGATGTCAGCATCCCACACTTCATTCTTCATAATCCTTGCCTGGAGGTGGAGCTATGTTAAGAGAAACTGAGTTATCTTTGGCAGGTCCAAGGTCAATGAGAGGACCACTGAGTATGCTGTGAAAGGTGTATGTGTGTGTGTGTTAAGCGAGTTAATAACTACAATTTGTCTCTTATTGAAACTGGATGCTACTTTATTATTAGAGTCAAAAATTTAAACCTTAGCAGCTTCAGAGAGGGAGACTGAGAAAAGTAATAGAGACAGCCATGTCTTCTGAGTTAGACATGAGTACATCAAGTAGCCACCAGGCAGTTGGGAGTTCAGAGAAAGAGAAATCTAAAGGCATGAGAAAAGTATGCACAGGCTATGGACTTTTGTAATGGTTTTGAATACTTACAGTTGTATTTTAAGTTTTATTTTGCATTCATGGAAGTTTCCTAGCATGTATACTTATATAGTATATGCATGCCTGGTGCCTGTACAGGCCAGAAGAGGGCATTGGATCTTCTGGAAGTGGAGAACAGTGTGTGCTGCTATATGAATGCTTGGAATGGAATTCTGTTCCTGTGGAGGAGCTGCTTGTCCTCTGAATGACTGAGCCTTCTCTCCTTACTCTTTACCTTCAATTGTTGATGAGGCTGCCCCAGAGAGACTGGAGAGACAACACATCAAACTGTTCTGTTTTCTCATCCCTTTGTCAAGAAAGCCCGATGTAGCCCTTCCTCTATTACACTCAAAGGTACCTCTCTTCCAGTCTGGCATCTGCTGGAATAGACATGTTTTCTGTAAGGCATCTGACTAAAGAGAGGAAACTCTCGTATTCTGGTACTCATGGTGAGGTCAAGCATGTGTGTCCCTGCAGAGTCACTGGTGACACTATGCTCACTGTTACTAGGTGCCCACCTCTGTCTGCAGTGAAAGCTGCCTTCCAGGGTTCAGCCAAGTGCCCAGGCTGGGAGCCCCCCAGTGCTGTTTTGATTGCAGTCTTTGCCCCGAGGGACAGTTTGCAGACAAAAAAGGTAAGGGCATGTGGAGCTGGAATCTCAGAGTCAACAGGACACTGTGAGCCTCCTGTATTTATCCATCATCTTAGTTATGTTCTACTTATGTGAAGAGACACCACAACCAAGGCAGCTTCTAATGGAAAAGCATTTAACTGGGGCTTCCTTATAGTTTCAGAGGGTGAGTCCATGACCATCATGGCAGAAAGCCTGGCATCAGGCAAGCAGGCTTGATAGTAAATCAGTTTGCTGAGATGTTACATTCTAATCCACAGGCAGCAGGCAGGTAGATAGGCCTTGTGTGGAAATTTGAACTTTCAAAGGCCGCTCCCATTGACTCTCTTCATCCACTTGCCAATCTAACCCACCAATTCACCAACTAGGAACTAAACATTCAAGTATATGAGCCTAGGGGGATCGTTCTTAGTCAAAACACCACTCCCAGTCATCTACAGAGGCTTCCCAGTGTTTGCTTTTCTGTGAAGTACCAGCCAGAAGACTACTCTTATAATTGTTCTTACTTAAATGCTGTATTGACACAGAGAAGTGAATGAACCCTAATTGTGCTGCATAATGAATTCACCTCTAGCAAACACTGCACATCCTTGACCCCTGGACCACTAAACCTTATAGACCTACTTCTATAAGCTTTAGTGGTCCCTCAATAGATCTGTGACTTCTGCTGACACTGATGAATTTCACTTACATTTAAAACCTCCAATGAGTGGAATTGTATGGTGATTCACAACCAAGTGTAATTCCAGTTATAGGGGAAATGATGACGTCTTCTGATTCCACAGGAACCACGCATGCACATCATTTCCATACAAATGTACAGGAAAAAACACTCAACAGGTAAAATAAGTAATTACAAAAGAATAAGCTGCAGAGACTGGTGAACTGGATGATCAGTTAAAGTACTCACTGTCAACCCTAACAGTGTAAGTTCAGTGCCTGGGACCCACATGGTAGAAGGAGAGCACCAAATTCCTGAAAGGCGTACTTGCACACCTTGGCATGCCTGAGCCCATAGAGACATACACACAAAATATACAAATAAGTTTGATTAGAAAACTGAGGTAGGGGAAATGATTAAGAAATACTTTCCATGATGATCTCTGTCTCCACATGCATGTGCACCCACTAACATGTGTGCACACAAAAAGCTGCACACACAGAAACTCACATATTTAGGTATCCCGGTGGAGAGGTATAAATCACAGAACTTAAGAGATTGTGGAAGGAGGCTTAGAAATTCACGGCTTACTTAGCCTGAGTTACATGAGACCCTGCGAGAAGATAGAAACAAAATCCCTCACAGAAAAGTGTAGCCTGTGCAGTTTTCTCCTCTGTGCTTTATTTCTAATATCACCCATCCCACCTATGGTCACCAAGACTAATTCATAAATACACAAACCGACAGTTAGGCTGTAAGAGCAGTTAGTGCCTGGGACACCTTCCTTCCTAGCTGATGCAGTTAGCGTGGTGTTGTAAAAATGTGTCTGTGTGTCTCCCATAGACATGAAGAGATGTCTTCCATGCCCCGAGGAGCAGTACTCGAGCCATAGCAGAGACCACTGCCTGCCCAGGACAGAGCTCTTCCTGGCCTTTGAGGAACCTCTGGGATTCCTGCTGGCTTCGGTGGCACTCTTCCTGGCCGGTCTGGCCGCCCTGGTTCTGGGAGTGTTCCTGAAGCACAGGGACACCCCTGTGGTCAGGGCCAACAACAGAACCCTCAGCTACGTACTCCTGACGTCGCTCTCCCTCTGTGCCCTGTGTGCCCTGCTGTTCCTTGGCCGCCCCAGTGTGACCACATGCCTCCTCCGTCAGACCACCTTTGCTGTGGTGTTCACGGTGGCCATCTCCTGTGTTCTAGCCAAGACTCTCACAGTGGTCCTGGCTTTCAGGGCCACCAAGCCTGGGGGCAGGATCCAGGTTTGCCTGAGCCCCGGAGCTCCTACCTCAATGGTCCTCGTCGCTTCCTCCATGCAGGTCGTTCTCTGTGGGCTCTGGTTGGCCACCTCTCCACCGTTCCCAGAAAGGGATATGGTCTCAGAGCCCCAGCACACTGTCATTCGGTGCCAGGAGGGTTCTGGCACTGTCTTCCTCTGTGTGCTGGGCTACTTAGGGCTCCTGGCAGGGGGCACCTTCTCCGTGGCCTTTCTGGCCAGGGGCCTGCCAGATGTCTTCAACGAGACTAAGTTCCTGACCTTCAGCATGCTGCTCTTCTGCAGTGTCTGGACAACCTTCCTGCCTCTGTACCACAGTGCCCGGGGCAAGGCCACTGTAGCTGTAGAGATCTTCTCCATCCTGGCCTCCACTGCTGGGCTTCTGGGTGGCATCTTCATCCCCAAGTGCTACATCATCCTGCTGAAACCAGAGAGGAACACCCCTGCCTGGCTAAGGCAAAACCTCCAGGCACAGCAGGATCGGCAGAGTGAGATCCTCCAAACAAGGTGTCTCCCCAGGTCCATACCACACAACTTCGTGATGTAGTCCTTGGGGGAGTCACCAGGACCAGCCATGTGATTTTTGGCTCACTGTTTCACTGTGCATTATCGAGGTTAAATAAGGATCAGGATAAACAAATAGGCCGAATAGATGTTTATTCAGGGAGAAATAACTTACAACCTAGACAGATGAACACCAGGAAATTCAACCCGATCCTCTCCTGTCCCAGTCACGCCAGAAAGAGAGCCTTTCCTCGCTCCTTCCGAACTCCTTCCACAGGTCACTCCGCCCATGGCTCCACCCCCCAATGGGCGTGGTCAGTGCCACAGACGGACTATCTCACTACAGTGCATCAGTGGCATTTAAAAATCAGATCAAGATAGAGTGAGATATTTTGAACAAAAAAAAAAAAAAAAAAACTCATGACTGTCAGTCGATGGTGGACACATAGATGGTCAATCACTAGTCTCTCTCTATGTATTACAAAAATCCATCACAATTATGGTCATTTGAAAAGGGGAGCTGGCAAGATGGCCCAGTGGGTTGATACATTTACCATTAAGCATGGTAACCTGAGATTGATACTCAAGACCCAATGTTGGAAGGGGAGGACTGACACCACTGGTTGTTGTGCGAGCTCTGCGTTGCTAATAAAGCACACACTCCCCCATGTGCATACACACATATTATGAATGCCAAAGTGTGAAAAGGGTGATGATGGTGATACCAAGCGTTTCTGGGGGGGGGGGTGAGGAATTGACACGGAGATCATTGATCTCTTTTGCTTTGAGAGGGCCAGTACTGAGAACTGAACCTTTCACTGAGAGTTCCTTCACAGACTTAACTTTGTGATTTAGCTACCCTACTCTTAGATACATGTCCATGATAAATAGAAACATGTCTACCAACAGTGTAAATGAATTCTCAGAGAAGCATTATTTATGCCCTAAAATTGAAAAAAATCGTAATGTGTAGCACGGATAATAAAAACCCACAGACAGATATTGTGGTTCAAGCTGAAGCTCAGAAAAGCAAAGCAGCCAAGACAACAGAGAACTCTTACCTCTTCCAAGGCAGGGCAATCTCATCCTTAACATGGCTGGAGACTAATTGGCTGGTCTGAGACCCTGCTCCTGCCTTATATTCCTCTCTAGTACTAGGATTAAAGGTGTTTGCCACCACTGCCCAGCTCTATAATTAACAAATGTGGCTGCTGGGGTTAAAGGTATGTATCACTACTGCCTGTCCTCTACAGCTGTGTCTAGATTTTCACCCTGATCTTCAGGCAAATTTTATTAGTCATAAACAATATATCACCACATAAATGTTTTTCAGTTGCTGAATGCTTGGTAGGACTCACTCACCACTAGGACATTGTTTGCCAATGAGAAATAAATATAAAAAGAATACTGATTGGTATATGGTTAAACCCTGAGACTGTTTCACTCAGTTAAGGGATACAGACAATAAAAATAATGGATTTTAATATTCCATTTTATGAAATATCCTGAAAAATTAAGTTCATAACGACATACATTAGACTAGTGGTTTCTTGGGGCTTATGGAGATAGGGATTGGAGGCGAGGGGTGTAGACTAAAGTGTACAGCATTTCTTCTGGGAGTGAGGAAGAGCCACCATTTATTTGGTGAGGCTGTAGATGTGGCTCAGTGGTTCAGAGCTCTCACTGCTCCTCCTGAGCACCCAGTCTGGTTGTCAGAACCCATGTCAGGCAGCTCACAGCCACCTGTCAATCCATCTTCACAGGATCCAACGCCCTGGCCTCTGTGTGGGTCCGCACTCAGGTGCTCATACTGCACCCATGCTTAATCAAAAGTGATTTGGTAATGGTTGGAAGACTCCCCCAATATGCTAAAGATCACTGCATTGTCACCTCATTTTATTTATTTGTTTGTTTGTTTGTTTGTTTGTTTATTTGGGACAGGATCTTTCCACATCATCCAGGCTGGCTTCAAATTTATAGCAATCCCACTGTTTCACTCTCCTGAGTGCTGGGATTTTAGGTCATCTAGAATATTGCATAATGTAAATGGATAAATTGTACAGTATGGGAGTTATTTCTCAGTAAAACTGGTATTAAAAAATAATTATCCATGAATTACAGACTGTGAACTTCCATTATTTTCTGAATTCTAAGAAAAGGTGGAACTTTTTAAAGTGAAAATTAAGTAACGTTATGCTGCAATGATATTGAAGTGGAGTTATTGCTGCTTTAAATTGTATTTATTCATTGATTGACAGACTGGTGTGCACATGTCTGTCCATATTTTTGGACATGCAATTGCCAAAGCACTATGTGGAGATGAGAGCATAAGTTTCAGGAGTCATTTCTCTCCTCCAACCATGTGGTACCTGGAGATTTAACAAGGGTGGTCAGCCTGCCTTTACTTGCTAATGTGCTGAGCCATTGTTTTGGCTCTATCTTTTTACTTCAATGTGGGGATTATGGTTGTGTTGGAAAATTATACTTATCTGTTGAAATAACAGAATTTGGAATTTGTCTTCTTACTTGACTATACCTATTTTGTAGTGTGTGTGTGTGTGTGTGTGTGTGTGTGTGTGTGTGTGTGTGTATGCCACCACGGCTTGCATGTGGAGTCAGAGGACAATTTTGTCCAAATGGTTCTTTCCTTTTACCTTTATGTGTGTTCTTCAGATCACACACAGTTCATCGGGCTTGTGTATCAAGTGAATTTACTCAGAACCCATCGCGGGAATTGTTTCTCTGTCTGACCATGAGAAGTGAGGCTGGTGCTCTGCCACTCTTACATTGTTATTTTGTTCAGCTCTGTATTTCTTCCCAAGCTCACATTGCTGTCTCCCTGAGGTCTATGTCAGTACCTTGGCTCTTTTATACCACCTAGTAGGCTCCTCTTAAATTGGCCTTTCCTTCTTAGTTACTCCTCACATGTTATGAGGTTTACTCACTTTTTGTTTTCCCTTTGAGTGTTAATATTACCCTTACAATTCCAACTCACAGGCCTTCTTTAAATGATCTTCCACCTTGTTTGGAACTGTCTCTGAGGTTTGCCTTGCTCACTGAGGTCCAGAATTCTCAGAGACCCCCATACCTTAGCCCCTCAACTCCCTTCTCTGTAGCAACTAACTAATGTGTATGTATCAAATACCCATACAATGTTACCACTTCCCCACCTAAACTGTTCAAGTGCTTCCCTCCTAATTCACAACAAAGAAGCTGGATTTCTCAGCTAGAGATGCAGTTCAGTGGGTACAGTGCTTGCCTAGCGCACAAAGTCTCCAGTTAGATCTCCAGTATTGCATAAAACTAGTCATGCCTGTAATCCCCGCCCTCTTGAATTGGAGGAGTAGAAGCTCAATGTCATTTCCTCTTCCTGCCAATCTCTGACAACCTCTTATAACTCGCTCTTCAGCTTTTCCTCTTAACAGAGAGAACCATTCTAAGCACCTATTGTTGTATTTTCCGGGGTTACCATTGCTTCTCTGCAGTCCATAACTCATGTTGCCCTCCATATATGCAACGCACGTGCCATAAACAGGTCTGACTTGGCAGAGATTCCCTCGGTTGTTTTCTGTTCTATCCTCAATCACTGCTCAATAAATGCAGACTCAAGGAAATACCACAAAGTAATTCGATAACTTAGATTCCCATAAGGTTTTGCCACCTTGAAAGAGTTTCGGGAGACAGCTCCTGGTGTTCTTCATAGGCAAGTGGGACTTCGTTGGCAGGGGACACTCAGAATTAGATTCTTCATCTAAAAAAATGGGGGAAAGGAGGGGGGTAATAGAGATCATTCCGCGTCACCAGGCTCCGACTTTGAAAGCGGCTACTTTGAAATGCCATTTTACTGAGAGGCAGACCACCCACTTCGGGCTGTCAGGTAGGGAGGGAGAGAACCATCTCAGGTGGGTGACAAGAGCAAGGGAACCACCCACCCTTTTTGGCCTAGGACACACGCGGAACCGAAGAGACTGGGGGTGCTGCAGAGGCCGGACTTCGGATGGTGCTGGCTTCCGGTACAAGAACGGAGCGCGCCTCCCTGAAACTACAATTCCCAGTAGCCCTCGCGTCGCGCCCCGGTCTACTTTGGGGGGTGCGGCCGCCATTGTCCGCGGCCGGCGTAAGGCCTTATTCCGGACGGCCGTGCTACAGATGTAGCTGTCGCCGAGAGACTGCCGGGTCTTGGGAACGGTCAAGGAGAAGCGGCGCCTGCGGTCAGGGCTGGGTCAGTGCCGGGGAACCTCGGGCGCCTTCTCTCTCCTCGCCGGCTCGGTGCCCCGGTTGCCCTCGACCTCCGGGGTCTGGGTGCCGGCTTTCTTCAGGCTGGGAGAGGCCGCCCGGACTGGGCCGAGCAGGCCAGGCCTGGAACGTTGTCCCGGGGCAGGACGGAAGCCAGACGCCCGGTGCAGCAGCTCCGAGCCAGGTAAGGCGGGCAGCTCGCTGAAACGAGCGCCTGGAGCGACCCGGTTGGGGAGGCCAGGAACCGAGATAACGGCCAGCAGGCTCTCACGGCTTCCCTGCCGAGCGAAGGTGCAGGAAGGGCGTCCAACCTGACTTGGGAAGCGCCCGGGGTCTTTTAAACTTGCAGCGGCACGGAGGTGTGTGGCGTGCGGTGTGCGAGTGCGCGCAGGGTTCTTGCAACTTGCTTGCCCTGAGTTTTCGGAGTGTGAGTGTAGGAGTCTTGCAACTTGCTTGCCTTGAGTTTTGGCTCAGACAGACCCTGGCATGTCTCTGTGAGCGTGCTACTGCTTAGTACCAAACGTCTCTCCGAGAGGCTGCTGCTCTCACACAAAGACCCGGCGTCCGTGCATTTGTGGGGTCTGACTCTGGACTTTTGTCTCTGATGCGACGCCAGGAGGGGACTGATAGGCTTGAGTCTGGGAGGTCTTGCAGGTGTTTGTTGTTGTTGTTGTTTGGCTTTACCAAAGTGTGGGATTCAGTGAATTTGTTGTTGACACAGTGTGCAGCTGTAACCCCTCCCATCCCAGAACTTTTCATTACCCCCACCACCACCAAAAACAAAACCCTTGTGGCACACATTTAGTAGTCACTCCGCTTGCCCTTTCCTCCAGCTGTAGACCATTAATGTATGAGCACTGTGTGCAGTGTTTGTCCATCTAAGTGGAATGGCTCTCTTGGCAAAGTGTGACATACACATTTTCACCTTTAACCAGGATTGGTCAACCCCGCCCCCAGCCCCGCCCCACAGTATTCATTTTGCTCCGGTTTAGTAATTTTTTTTTTTCTTTTTCTTGAGTGTGTCTGTACTGACTATGAGATTAGTGTTGGGCCTCCATCTTGGCTTTTGAGACAGGGACTCCCTTACTGACCCTCTTTGATTCCACTCTATTGACAGAAATGCCCAGGGATCTTCCTGTCTCTGCCTTCCCAGTGCGGGTATTACCTGCTCTCCACCCACTGCATCAGATATGAAGATTTAATTCAGATCCCCTTGCTTATGACCAGCTCATGTCCCCAACTCCTCTACTGTGTTTGAAATGTACATTGCATTTTGGAAAAATCATGCTTCTCGGCGGACTTTTGTTACGTTCTCACTGGCTCTTTTTCGAGAAAGAGGCAATGTTGTCTTTTTTCACTTCTTCTCTAGGTTGGCGACTGAAGTGCCGGTCAGTACCCTGGCTGATTAATCCTCAGGGATGGCAGCCATCAACCCATGGCCCTCCTGGGGTGAGTCCAAATCATGATCTTTCTGCACCTTCTCTGCAGGAGACGTACTGTCGCTGTAAACCACAGCTGAGAGGGGAGTGCTGGTTTGGGGGGGGATAATAGAAGGTCTGGTTGTCTTAGTACAAAATTAGAACTGATTAGTGCTTAAGGGGAAATTTATTCAGAAAAGACAACATAAATTAATTATATATATATAATTAATTTATAGGACTCTTTAGATAACAGTCATACAATACATACAATCAAAATGTTTTTTTTCTTCTGTGTTTTTTACCTTTATTATTATATTTCACTTATATAACATTGATCTGTTTTTTTAAACAATGTTAATAGTGCTATGTGATCATTTTATGTTTTAAATTCTCATCACCATAGAAATCAAAGCAGTATCTATGCTCTTAAAAAATAGGTAATGTTGCATCTTACCAGATATTTATTCAGCCATTTAAAGGGTTCTGTTTTTAATTGCCTTGTTCTTAAATCATCTTCCAAAGTTGCATTTCCTGTACATATCCAGGTTATGTTGGGTTTGTCATATGCCCTTGGGTTATGGAATAATCTTTTATGGTGGGTCTCTGTGAGTTTGAGGCCAGCCTGGTCTACAGAGTGAGTTTCAGGACAGTCAAGGCTACACAGGGAAACTCTGACTTGGAAAATAAGAAAGCTGACTGGCTGGTAGCGAGGCATGAGGTATAAGAGGGACAGTCAGACAGGACCCTGGGAGGAAGAAGGGTGGAGTCGAGAGATGCTATGAGTGAGACACAGGATGAGAAGTAAGTACATGAGGTAAATGAGCCTCAGGGCAGCATAAGATTGAAAGAATTGGGTTAAGTTGTAAGCTTATGAGGCACAGAGATACACTACCTACACCTTTGGACTCTGTAGGGCTCTGTCATGCTCCATTTTTTAAAGTTACCTTTAGTCACTGGGCTTTTGTCATACCTGATCCTTCTCTACAGGTGCCCTCATGGAGCAGTCTTGGGGGATGGCAGCTGCTGAGTCTTCTGCTTCCTGGGGTGAGTCAGCAACCTGTGCCCTCAGCTGTGTTGTCTGCCATGTGATGGCCTCTTCCTTCAGTGATCTGTCATGGCTGGGCTCAGAGCTGGTGACCCAATAGACCAGCACTCACTCTACAGAGTTAGAGTAAAGAGGGATCAGAAAACTGTAGGGGTAAAGTGATGATGACATCTCTAGGACAAATAACATGAGAATTAATGTCTAGACACTTAGGGCTCAGACCCAGAAAGGCTGTGAAAAGTGCTTCTCAGAGATGGTGCCTCATTGCATAGGTCAGTGAGGAGCCACATGTTGTTACCTTCTCCAAGCCCCATTCCCTTCATCTGTGGGGTAAAGAAGTAGCTTTCTTCCTTACCTGGGATGGTAGGGGCAGGGGCAGGATCTAGCCTTCCTCATTTCCATAGGGTACATGAACTTGTAGCAGGAAGAGATGCCTCCGTGACTTCTTTGTCTTTCCTAGCTCTGTGCCCTCAGGATCCAGCATGGCACATAGAGGGAAGCCCTGAGGAGAAGGGAAGGAGGACAGCTGGGCTCCCAGCAGCCCAAGGCCAGGTGAGATGGAACTTCTATTATTCTAGAAAGGCCACTGTGTTCCCAAAGGGTGAGGGTCCATGTTTTCCTTGGCCACCCTAGTTCATATGGCTCCTTAATTTCCAGCAGCAAGAGCCTAGGTCAAGGAGGCAGCCCGTTAGCAATTCCTGAATGCAGGTAGGGGAATCCAGCCAGTTCTCCATGATACACAGAGCCTTGCTGTCACTGCCTGACCTCAGAGCTGAGGCACAACTGTATCATCACTTGTTTTGGGAGAGATGATAATACCCATTTTGGCTGGCAGCCCCTGTCCCTTTCCCCCTGTTCTTAACTCATGTGTTCAGAACCAGGCTCAGGCTGATGCTGTGTAGTGTACTCCATGCTTGCTGTGAGAACAAGAACAGATGGGATCTCTTACCCTGAGGACCTAACAGGCCACTTTCCAAGGTGGTTCACTCAGGTAATGGCACTTATGGCTCCCATGGGCTACACATGCTCTGTAGGGTACAAGAAACCCAAGACACAGAGGGAATCCCTAAGTCCTATTGCAGTTCAGTCCACTGATGCCTTGGGGGGTGAGACGGAGTCTGCATAGAGGTCAGTAGGGGACGGAATTGTGGAGGAGGAGTTTACATTTGAGTAAGCCAAGAGGTAAAAGGAGGGTATCAGATGGGTGCTTTCCGGTCTGGCCTGCCCTGCTCCACAGGTGTGTTTGAGAGCTGGGGTGGACTGTGTGACTGGTGTCTGCATATAGACTGATTTTAGGTAGGAGAAGCTAGGAAGAACCCAGGTGGGCCTGCATGGTTGCTGAAGAGCAAGGAGCCTCAGGATTGTTGGTGGCAGGAGGCACTGTGAGCCAGAATGTGGCTGGAAGGGTGTATGGGCGGAGAGGCTGTGAGAGGCGGGCTGCCGTCGGAGGCTTCAGTCTAATCAGGGCCTGGAAGCTGGAGAGGAGGGTAAGATCAGAGAAACAAGGGAGTCCACCACAGGCTTTGGGACTATGAGAGCCCCTCGGGTAGCCTCCCCCGCCCCCAGGATAGGAGGGCAGTGCTGATGTTGTATAGGTGCAGTAGTTTTCCCATCTCGGGAGCCAGCTCCAAAGACAGCTTCCTCTTGGTTGCTGGCAGGTGTCTCCCCAGACTTCATCCTTCTTCTTTCTCCCAGCATCCTTTGTTTGACCGCCAATAGCTTTTACCAGCCACTGAGAACATGACATAGTCAAGGTGTGCAGAAGAGTTATTCCACCCCATTGCAGCAGTAGTGTCGGCTTTCTCTTCCTGCCTAGGCTCTTCTTCAGAAGCAGCCACTTGTGGTTTTTCTTTTCTTTTAAATATAACCATGGAGATAATGTCTACATTCTAGAAAGTGTATCAACATACTTACAAAGTTGTACAGTTCATTGGTTTTTAATATAGTCGCAGAATGTTGTTTCCAACCTCTAATTCTAGAGGCTGTTTATCACCGCAAGAAGAAATCTTGTATCTGTTAGTAGTCGCTCCTTTTCTCCCTGCTTGCAGTCCCTGGTAATCATTTATCAGTTTTCCAACTGGGTTTGCCTATTCTGGTATTTAATGTAATTTAATTTAAACAGAATCATAACACAGGACTTTTTGAATCTGGCTTCCTTCACTTGGCATGTTTAAGAGTTACTAATTTTAAAAGCCTTTTAAAAATTACATTTATTTGTGTGTGTGTGTGTGTGTGTGTGCGCGCGCGAGCGTGTGTGTGTGTGCGTGCGCACATGGAGATGTGTGTGGGGGTCTGAGGACAGCTTTGAAGAGTTGATTGTCGACTTCCGTCATATGGATCCCAAAGAATGAATTTAGGTTGTCAGGTGGCCATCTTGTCACTGAGCCATCTTGACAACCTGCCCCCCCCCCTTTAAAAGATTCATTTATTAATAAAAAAAAAAAAAAAAAAAAAAAGTTTTTTATGTATGTGTTTGGTTGTGTGTCTGTGCACTCCGGTCCGCTGGTAGAGTAGACAGTGCTCTTAACTGCTGGGCTATCTCCCCAGCCTCTTAACAATTACTTTTAGTGTGCACATGTGCATGCGTGCCTGTGAGTGGTATTTGTGAACTGCCCAACATGGGTGCTGGGATCAGAACATCGGTCCTCATGATAGAACCAGTGTGTTTAAATGCTAATGTGTGTTTAAATGCTAAGCTGTTTTGCCAGCTTCCATGAGTTAGTTCATATTTCAGGCACAGTTATTTTTTGTTTTGTTTTGTTTTCAGTTTATTAAATCTTGATGTTTCTAAATGTGAATTTTTAGAAGTTTGTTTTTTAAAAATTAAATCAAACTTGCACTCACTTTGTTTACTTCCTGCTGTGAAAGGTAGGAAAAAGTAGTTTGAATATTTAGATCTTTTATCTGTAAATTAAAATAATGAAGCAAGTGAATGTGAGACACTAAGATATAAAATGTTTTAAAATAACATCTCTATTTAACTTTATGCCTTCCCTCAAATTAAAAAGAAAATAATAAAACTTCCTACTCAAAGCTGACAGGTGAGCTGCATTGAACGTGTGCTGTCACCACATGGCAGTACCTCTGTCCCCGAGAAGCAGAAGGGCCTGGATGGAGTGATGCAGGATGTGGTTACCTGGCATCACAACTTTGGTGGCCACGGCTCACTGCTGTCGCAATGTGACCATCATTTTCAGATCCTGTAACAAAATCACCAGCAGTGAACATAGGCTAGGAAGACTAGATGGGCACCGAGTCGGTGTCAGGGGACAGAAGTAGCTGGAATCAGTGCTATGAAGAAGCCTAATTAATCACTGCGCTGTACTCAATGGCAACTTATGTGAGAGTTTCTGAAAATGATTAGTTATTGCTGAAAAAAATAAAACCGTTAAAGTAACAACACCTTGTAATGTCTGAAGAGTTGTGATTTCTGAGAACATGCTCCTGGCCCCCTTCCCAGGTCACTGCTTTGGAATTTTCCCTGTTGGAAACTTGGACTTGAATTTTAAATTGTTTTTGTTTTTTGAGATTGAATTTCACTGTGTAGTCCTGGTTAGCCTGAAACTTGCTATTTAAACCAGATTTCCTTTGCCTCCTAAGTGCTGGGATTAAAGACATTCATTACCATGTCTACCTGTGACTTGTTTGTTTGGTTTGGTTTTCAAAACAGGGTTTCTCTGTGTAGCTTTGGAGCCTGTCCTGGAACTCATTCTGTAGACCAGGCTGCTGACTTTAAACTCACACCTATGACATCTTAATTGAACAAGGTCTTGAGGAAAGCAGTGGACCTACGGTCCACATATGGCTCTCTCTCCTGTTAAATAATTATTGAAATACAGCCATCACCTGGTGGAAACATCAAACGTTCATCTCTCAGCTGAATTCCTTCTTGGAAATATGTCAATAAAATTTCATCCAGCTGGACCCTTGATCCTGTTCTTTCAAGGAATAGAGGAAATAATATTAGTGATAATATCCCAGTGTGCTTAAAAATAACCAGGGAGCCTGTCCAAATACAGACGTGCTATCTGGAATGGTCCACTGATTTTTTTCTGCATGACAAATACCATGTTTGGCAAAGATGAGTGGTGTGTACTAATCTGTCATTGTGTGTGAAGGTTGACTATTTATTTCTGCGAAGATCTTACGCTAAAATGCTAATAACAGCCTGGGATGGTAGTGTATGTCTATAGTCCCAGCACTTTGGAGGCTAAATCAGGAGAACTATGAGTTTGAGGCCATGTTTTTGTTTTGTTTTAAATGTGGGAGCTGGAAAGTTGGCTCCATGCTTAAGAGCCCTACTGCTCTTCAAAGAGACTGAATTTGGTTCCAGCATCCATGATAGGTGGGCCACAACGACATGGGACTCCAGCTCCAGAGGATCTGATAACCCTGGTCTGGATTTGGCTGCTGCCGGCACACAGTGGCATACATTCACACAGACACGCATACATAGATAAAAATAAACATCAGTCCCTACAAACAAGACTGGCTGGTGAGACGGCTCAGCAGGTGGAGTGCTTGCCATCCAGTAATCCATGGTGGATGGAGAGAATTGATTCTACAGCTGTGCCATGGCATCTGTCACATTTCATACACACACACACACACACACACACACAAAACCACCCCCCAAACCCAGTATTGTTTTACCATATTTGCTTAATTTTCAATCTTTTTATGGGTGGACTTCTAAGTCCTCTGCACCTGTTATCCTTGCCAGTGTTCCTGTTATTTCACTTTGTACATGTGAAACTGCTTGGTTATATATGACCCTAGAAGCGGAATTTTACTAAACCTTGGGATTTGGGGTCTACTTTTCGGATGCTAGTGACACCATGTTGGTCTCCAAAGCCTGAAGCCACTGCTCAGTGTACACTCTAGGAGAAAAAATACTATTTTCTTGAGTCTTTGATAACACTTAACATCAAATCTTTTTATTATTAAGGTCAAAAAGTATTACATTACTTTGATTGCTAGTGAAGCTGGTATTATTTAATATTTTATTTCCTTCATTTTGTCTCATTCTCCTTAACTCCCAGATTTCTAGCCACCACCTTTCCCCCATGCATTTTGGGTTCCAAATATATATGGACAGTCATATTTATGATAATATGAGTTATCTTCTGTTTGTCTTAATTTGCAGTATCTTACCAGTTAAAATGATTACTGATGTTCTCTCAAATATATGTCTTTGTTTATGACTGGTGGTTTTTGCACCCTTTAAGATACCCTGTATTCTTTTTAAAAGTAGTTCTATCCTTTATAGTCTTTCTGGAGTCTTTTGGTAGATACTGGGTTTCCTACATACACTACTTTGTGACTTTCTTCCTATGTGTTGTTGTCTTTGTGGAGTTGGAAGCCCAGGAATCTTTCTGCTACCACGGACCTCTTTCTATCTACTTATTTCAGTCCCATCTTTTCACAGTCTATGAATCCTTCTTTTCTAAAACAGCCTGTCCTGAAGCATCCTCTTCTGTTTTGTATTGCAACTGCTCCAGGCCGAGAGCCTGAAAAGAGAGAGGCCTTACAGTTGTTTGAAAGCTGGCTCGATCTGCTATCTGGATTTGGGTCCCTTGTCCACCCCTATTGTGCCTTTACCTGGATGGCAGATGTTCTGTCTTCCCTGTGTTGTCACTAAGAAAGTCTGTGGGACTGCACCCCATAGTTTTGCCTCCTACTTGCTGCTTCCATCTTTCCTGCCAATCCCACTGGTTCCGTGGACATGCGTGTTACTTATTTCTGCCTTCAGTTCCCTTAGTGCAAAGTTATAGCCCTCTCCACCTTCAATGCCCAACTGAAGATGTTTCAGCTCATTAGTCTGAGAACATCCCACACTCTTGAGCCTAGAGGGTCTGTGGTAATTTTGCTCATGTGTCTGAGTGCGCTGCTGCTGGCTGTACTACCCACTGGGTAGAGTGGCTGGTCAAGCTGTCCTGAGCACAGGCCTTTGCCCCAGCTGTTCCCAGGCTGACTTCTCTCCTGCCTTTGCTGTATCATTTCAGCTGAGACAAGAGTCACTTCTATGGTCCTTCTGCGGGTGGCTCCTGCCCTACTGCAACCCTGCCTACTGTGGGGGTGGGAATGTGGGACAAGGAGGCCTTTTGTTGCTTAGCATTGTGGCAAGAATGTGGAAAGTTCATGGTGCTTCTGGTCCATTTTTTTCATTGGATGGATAATTCCCTTTAATTAAAAGATACTTTATGTGTTATAGGTGTTTTGCCTGCATATATGTGCATGCAACACGTGTGCCTGATGTCTTCAGGGCAGAAGAGGGCATTGGATTCTCTAGAACTGGAGAAAAAGACAAATAGTTGTAAGCCTCTGTATGACTGCTATAATTTAACCAGAGTCCTCTGGAAGAGCGCTCTCTCTCTCTCTCTCTCTCTCTCTCTCTCTCTCTCTCTCTCTCTCTCTCTCTCTCTCGCCCCACTGCTTGATCAAATTTCATTTATGGTAGTTTTCTCTCATATCTCATCCTGACCACAGTTTCCCCTCCCTTCCCTCGGCCCCACTCTCCCCCTCTCCTCTCCCCCAGGTCCACCCCCACCTCTCTCTCTTCTCTGAAAAGAGCAGGCCTCCCAGGCACACCCACCAGACACAGCATAAGCCAAGGCACATACCATTACATGAAGGCTGGATGAGGTAGTCCAACAGGAGATGAAGGGTCACACAAGTAGGCAAAAGACTGAGAGACAGTCCTCCACTTCCACTGTTAGGAATCCCAAGAACCCATAGAGGTTAGATAGTATGAGACAGACATGGGCAGGAAGCTCTAGGTAGTAAGCATGGCCTCCCAGCTTGTTCCTTTCATGACTGCCTTGTGAACATTCATTGTGCTTAGGTTTTTACACTTCTCTGTCAATGTGTAGAAACAACAGAAAATTTGAAGGAAACAGATATGGGAAGATCTGCAACAAGAAAAGTAGGGAATTGACCTTGTCACCAAGGTTGGGGAGGGTTTCTCCGAAGGGGGAATGGTATGTTCAGCACTTTTAGTTGCTTCGTGTTGGAAAGGTGGAGGTGGAAATCCACATCCAGGCTTACCAGTCTCAAAGTAATAGGGATCTTGGGGAGAGTTTGTCTGAAAAGAAAATCCTTCAGTGTATGTGCATTGTCCTCAGATTCTTCAGTATAGATCAGCAGCAGTGATGGACACATACAAAAAGAGTGGATGTCTGCAGGAGTTGAGCTTTGAGGTGGTAAGGAGGTCTTTGCAGCAGAATCAGACAGGAATCGAGTTTTGAGGGATAAGGCAGTCTTTGAAGCAGAATCAGGTTTTTGTTTTAAGCCAATCATTTTATGAAGGTAGAATGAATGTGGTTCTGTTTGGCAGATTTAAAAAAAATAAGTCAGTATATTGAAGAAAAAGCAGTAAGGGCTAGCTCAGATCAGAAGTGACAAATTGTTTAAAAGATGTGATTGACAGACACAAAAGAGGGGTAGGGGGAAAACTCTATCCAGGTAACAGAAGCTAGAAGATGTAGAGAGACGGGAGTGGGCCAGATGACCCTGAGAGTGTATCTGATGCGATAGATAGATAGATAGATAGATAGATAGATAGATAGATAGATAGATAGATAGATAGAAAATCAGCCCAGCAGGTTTGTCTTAGAGTTGATTCTGTATTGATGGTAGAGGTAACCAGGGAGCCACATTCTAGTCAGAGATTTGGTCCTTATGTTCAGATGTGTTGTTGGGGCAGAGAAGTGAATAGAGGATATAGGGTTTGTGTTCTACCACCCATACACTCTGCCCTGGGAAGGAAGGAAACTCTGAGGATGTCCAGACACTGGAGTCTCATGATTTTTTTTTTTTTTTTTTTTTTTTTTTTTTGAGACAGGGTTTCTCTGTGTAGCCCTGGCCTCTTGCAGATTACACTATCCTCGAACTCACAGAGAACCTCCTTCCTCTGCCTCCTGAGTGCTGGAATTAAAGGTGTGCACCACCAGTACCTGGCCATCGCATTGATTTCTTAGGAGTATAAAAGATATAACTGCAAATATCAAACTTAGGTTTGCATTTTTCTCTAGTTTTCTAGGTCCCACTTTCCTTTTCCCCTTTGGATTTTATGTTTTTGTTTGCTTACAAGCAAGTTCTTACTGGCTAACCCAGGCAGGCTTCGAAGTCTGACCCTTTTGCCTTGATGTTGTGAATTCCTGGATTATAGACCAGTTCCTTGCCTGGTTTCTATATTTATTTTTGTCACTATGTTGCTCAGGCTGATACTGAACCTGGGAACAAGAAACTGAGATTATAGGTGGATGCTACTCTGCCAGGCAGTTTGAATTTTTTTTTTCCTAACTGGACTGTTTTTTGGTGGTGGTGGTGGTGGTAGTGGTGGTTTTTGTGCTACCCCTGTAACCATCTCCCTCAGCCCAGGGTGCTCTGGGCCATCCTGCTTACCCTTAGTTCCAGCCCTTTGATGGAAGTGACCAGTAAATGGAAACTTTCTCCCATGGTAAGGGTGGTAGATTCCACCTTCCAGGTACAAGATCCACATATTGGAGCAAAGACTCTTCCAACCCAAGCCCTTTGGCCCACAGACGGCCTTTTTCTACTGTGGTCCAGGATGTATCCATGTATGGAGATCACAGAGCATTGTTAAGGTGGTATTCCTGTTCATACTGGCCATTGTTAACAGAATTGGTTTCTAATAAGAAATAAACTGGTGATATTTTTGTTTATGATCTAGCAAAGCTAGCCACACTAGTTATCCATAGAGGCCAGGCAGTGGTGACTCACACATTTTATCCCAGCACTTGGGAGACAGAGGTAGACTACCCTGAGCTACCAGAAGTTGATCAAGTCCAAAATAGAAACAGCACTCACATAGTGGTGATCTCTGCACTTGGGACCTGACACCTAAAATCCCAGCACTAGATAGGAATATAAGGTAGGAGGAGAAGAGCTCAGTGCAATCTGAGGTGGAGACAGATGCAGGACAGGATGGTCCCTTTCTGTCAGAGCATTGGTAGAGGTGAGAACTCTCCAGTGGCTAGCTGCTTTTCTTCTCTGATCTTTAGCTTGAACCCCAATATCTGTCTGGGTCTTTATTAATAGCATTTAGAATACATGCTACAATAGGTTAGAAACTATATTGACAATTCTCTGTGTGTCTTTCATTGCCTCTGGGTTAACTCTTTCGGCTCTTGACAGTTTAATTAATAGTATGTGTACATGCTCCCTTCCAGGTTAGAGCTTTTAGAAGTCTTTGATGAACTTTTTTTTTTTTCCTGTGGTTTCTGTAGGCTCTGATATCCCGAGAATATCCCAAGTATAGGGCCCTGGGTGTACTCAGTTGAACTTGACACATACCAGCTAGACTGCCCTATAACTCACTTTGTGAACCAGTCTGGTCTCACACTCAGAGAGACCCTCCTGCCTCTGCCCCCTGAGTGGGGGGATTAAAGTGAGTCACCACACCTGGCTAAACTGGATAACATCTAGTATGCCTTTATATCTTGTCTCCTCTCCTCAAAGACTTCAGCCTTATTCCATCCTTAGAAAATTTGGAAAGGTTTGCCACAGGCTGAGAAGGATCATATATGCTCTTTCAGGAACCAGTGACTTTCAAGGATGTGGCTGTGGCCTTCACCCAAGAAGAATGGGGACAGCTAGATATTGTTCAGAGGACTCTATACCGCGATGTGATGCTGGAGACCTATGGACACCTACTCTCTGTGGGTAAGGCAGATACTGCCAGATAAATAAAGCTATTTCCTCCATAATGTCTTCTCCATTCTTGGAAAGTTGTATGTTGTATCTCTGAAGGGCTGAGATGATCTTGAACCTTGAGATTCAGATATGAAACTCCTAATACAAAATACAAAGAGAAGGTTGTGCATAATCTGCTTAAGTCAGGAGTCACTGGAAGAAGAGGCAAGAGAGATTTCTTTGGCAACTCCAAAGCTTTGTCACCAAAAGTACATGTCTTTCCTTCATCTTCAGGGAATCAGATTGCTAAGCCTGAAGTCATCTCCCTGTTGGAACAAGGAGAAGAGCCATGGTCAATGGAGCAGGCATATCCTCAAAGCACTTGTCCAGGTGAGGTGAAGCCTAGGAATCGAGAAAGGAACTTTTCTCAAAGCTCTTCGTTTTGATAAATGGGCTAAGGGTAGAGGAGTTATCTTCTAATACATTTAGAACCTCTCTAGGGAACTTTCTACTTCATTCTCTTCCTTCTTCCTTCCTCCTCCTCTTCTCCTTCCCTTCCCTCACCTTTCCTTCTTCCCTCCCCTCCCCTCTCCTCACCTAATCTCACCTCTATATTCTTCTCTTCCCTCCCCTCCCCTTTCCTTCCCTCCTTTCTTCTTCCCTCCCCTCCCTTCCCCTTATCTCCTGTCCCCTTCCACTTTTCCCTCCTCTCCTGACCTCTCCCCTCCTTTGCTGCTGTCTAGTTTCTTGAGTTCTTTATGTATTTTGGAAATTATCCCTTTGTCAGATATGAGTTGCTGAAGATCTTTTTCCAGTCTGTAAGCTGTTGTTTTGTCCTGTTGCTGGTGTCCTTTGCCTTACGGAAACTTTTTATTTTCAAGAGGTTCTATTTATTAAGTGTTCTTCTTAGTGTCTTCACTATTGAAGTCCTGTTCAGGAAGTTACATCTGAGATGGCTCAGCCATTAAAGGCTAGGGTCACAACCAAAACAGTTGTCACCTTAAAGCCTCCAAGCATGTTGTTACTCAGTTTTTCCTTTCTATCTTTTTGATTATTGTATTTTGGGTCTCACTGGCATGCTCCACCTCAGTTTCCTGCCAGAAATTATTAGAACTATGTGTTTCCCTGTTTGGAAAATCAAAGACAAGCCTTTCTTGTGACTCTTCAGAGAACCCCAGACGGATAAGATAAAGGTTGTTCTGGGTTGCTGACTTCTACAACTCTTAAGATTAGTCTGTTGTGTAAGTCAGCAAGCATGTGATTGCATTATAATAGTATGAAATTAATACAGATTCTTTTGATTATTGGACTGATAACCCAATGATGGCACATTGCTGATCTCTCTCTTTCTCTCTCTCTCTCTCTCTCTCTCTCTCTCTCTCTCTCTCACACACACACACACACACACACACACACACACACATACACACACACACAATTTGGCAGGCATTTTGCTGAATTCAAAAACTTACATTCATCTATCACAAAAGTCTGCTTACAATTAGTAAAGAGCTAGTATTTATATACAAATGTTCAAACAGTACCTTACTGTGTCATTTTTCTAGTCCATTTCTTTTGCCACTACTCAAAATGATTCTGTAGTAGTCACAGGAATTACTTCTCCAGGGGATCTTCAAACTGTGATAAGATTTCTCTTTGAGCTGCTGAGCCTTATGTGTTTAAATATTGACTGAACTTTGGAACAACAAATATTATAGTAGTAGTTTATTATAAATAACACCCTGGCCTGAACCTTTTGTTGATACTTTCTCATAACATCCTTCCAATAACAAGATAGGAAACAGGAAGGCATTAAGTACAGAAGTAAATTATAGCGCTACTTAATGAATTAAATATTACTTGCCAAAGACCTGCATGCTTATTTGTTAATCCTTCCCTCCCTCTTCTGCCCTGTCCTGTCTTTGTCAGGAGTATCCAGGACTTCCATCCACTCACTAGGATGACTTATAGAATTTGAAACTCACTACCATCAGGGTTATGATTTATTACAGTAAAAAGAATACAAAGCTATTGCGGTTAAATAAGGATCAAGATAAGCAAATAGGCCGAATAGATGTTTATTCAGGGAGAAATAACTTAAAACAGACAGATGAACACCAGCAAGTTCCACTGGATGCTCTCCTGTCCGAGTCCCGCCAGCAAGAGTGTTCCCCGGCTCTTCCTCAGACCTCCTTCCACAAGTCACTTCCGCCCATGGCTCCACCCCCAAATGGGCGTGGTCAGTGCCACAGAAGGAGACAAAGTAAATATCTCACTACACAAAGCAATATCATATAGTCCAGAGGAAACCAAATATAAATTCCTGCTAATGTTTTCATGATGAAGTTGTATATTTTTAGCAAGAAATTGTGATGATCTGTGAAATTGTCTACTAGGAACCATGGATGAGCTTAGCCAGTATCCAGTGTGCATATTCAAAGTTGGTCATATAGGCAATAATTGAGATTCCCCATTCTTCAGAACCCTAGAAAGAAAGCACATCTTCACTAGAAATGACATTAGTTAAAGCTATCCAGAGAAGTTGGTACAGTGTGCTTTAAGACCCTGAGCATGAAAAGGTGTAGTAACATTTACAACATTTCATATTCTTGATTCTCAGGAGTTAGCCAAGGCTGAACCAACTATGCAAGCCAGTTGGTAATATGAATAGCTTGAATTCTCAGTCCTGAAGAGTCATTTTTTTCTGTAAATCTTCCTTTTCATGTGAAAGTACTCCTCAGTGGTTTTATTAGTGTGATTATATACTTTCCTTGGTAGTTAGCAATTATTTACTTTTCACTATTCTCTATTATGATATTTCTCTGGCATTCATATCTGTACTTGAAAATGAAATATACTCTAGCCTTTTTCTGTAATATGAATAATGAATCACACCAGTGAATCCTTATGTACTCACAGCTCCCCCTGCTTCTGTTTCAGAGTGGATGAGAAATATTGAAAGCAAAGCATTGGTTCCAGCACAGAGTATTTTTGAGGAAGAGAAATCAAATGGAATGGCATTAGAAAGATATATATGGGATGATCCTTGGCTTTCCAGGATAGGAGTTTGGGGATGTAAAGACCAATTAGAAATGTATCACATGAACCAGAGTACAGGTATGAGGCAAATGGTCTTCATGCAGAAACAAGTACTTTCTCAACGAAGTTCTGAATTCTGTGAACTTGGCACAGAGTACAGCCAAAGCTTAAACTTGGTTCCATCTCAGAGAGTTTCTCAGTTAGAACATTTCTATAAACCTGATGGACATCTTGAAAGTTGGAGATGTAATTCAGCCCTAATGTATGCAGATAGGGTTACCTGTGGAAATAATGATTATGACAAAGCCTTCTGCCAGTCTCTTCAGCCTATATGCCCTGCAGGAATGCAAACTGGAGATGGTTTGTTCAAATGTACTGATGCTATGAAGTCTTTCAATCATATTATACATTTTGGTGATCATACAGGAGTACAAAAAGGAGAAAAACTCTATGAATATAAGGAATGCCATCAAATCTTTAACCAGAGCCCATCCCTTAATGAACACCCAAGACTTCAAATTGGAGGAAACCAGTATAACTATAAAGAATATGAGAATATTTTTTACTTCTCATCCTTTATGGAACATCAAAAAATTGGTAGTGTAGAAAAAGCATATAAATACAATGAATGGGAGAAAGTCTTTGGATATGACTCATTACTTGCTCAACATACAAGCACTTACACTGCAGAGAAGCCCTATGAATATAACAAATGTGGAACGTCTTTTATTTGGAGTTCTTACCTTATTCAGCATAAGAAAACTCACACTGGAGAGAAACCTTATGAATGTGACAAATGTGGAAAAGTTTTTAGGAATCGTTCTGCCCTTACTAAACATGAACGGACTCACACTGGAATAAAACCCTATGAATGTAACAAATGTGGGAAATCCTTCAGCTGGAATTCTCACCTTATTGTACACACAAGAATCCATACCGGAGAAAAACCTTATGTATGTAATGAATGTGGGAAGTCTTTCAACTGGAACTCCCATCTTATTGGACATCAGAGAACTCATACTGGAGAGAAACCTTTTGAGTGTACTGAATGTGGGAAGTCTTTTAGCTGGAGTTCCCATCTTATTGCCCATATGCGAATGCATACTGGAGAGAAACCCTTTAAATGTGATGAATGTGAAAAAGCTTTTAGGGATTACTCAGCCCTTAGTAAACATGAAAGAACTCACTCTGGAGCAAAACCATACAAATGTACTGAGTGTGGGAAGTCCTTCAGTTGGAGTTCCCATCTTATTGCTCACCAGAGAACTCACACGGGAGAGAAACCCTATAACTGTCAAGAATGTGGCAAAGCTTTCAGAGAACGCTCAGCCCTTACAAAACATGAAATTATTCATTCTGGAATTAAACCCTATGAATGTAATAAATGTGGGAAATCATGTAGCCAGATGGCTCATCTTGTTAGGCATCAAAGGACTCATACTGGAGAAAAACCCTATGAATGCAATAAATGTGGAAAATCCTTCAGTCAGAGCTGTCACCTTGTTGCCCATCGGAGAATTCACACTGGTGAGAAACCCTATAAATGTAATCAATGTGAAAGATCCTTTAATTGTAGCTCTCACCTTATTGCACATCGGAGAACTCATACTGGAGAGAAACCATACAGATGTAATGAATGCGGGAAGGCATTTAATGAGAGTTCTTCCCTTATTGTACACTTGAGAAACCATACTGGAGAAAAACCCTATAAATGTAATCACTGTGAAAAGGCTTTCTGTAAGAATTCTTCCCTGATTATCCATCAGAGAATGCATAGTGGAGAGAAACGCTTTATCTGTAATCAGTGTGGAAGAGCTTTTAGTGGTCATTCAGCCTTACTTCAACATCAGAGAAACCATAGTGAAGAGAAACTGTAACTGAATTGATCAGAGACTTTTATTGTATTTGACGGCATGCAATAAAAACGTACAACATTGGGAGAGGAAAAAAAAGCCTGTAAATATTACCAAGAGGGAAGTTTTTCTCTAAGAATTTAGTGAGATTGTCTTTATTATACAACAAGAAATCTCTTTTTAGAAGAAATTTTGAGTGACGTGAGTAAAAAGACCAAGGAAAACCTTTTTGCAGTTATGTAGCCTGTATTCATTAACAGGAAATTATAGAAAAGAGCTCCTAAACTTCTTCTGTGGTCCACAAGGAATACATATTTGAGGAACAAGATTGGGGAATGAGGCATTCTAGCAAGAGCTCTTATTTGTAGATCAGTGTGCATTATTAAGGGGAAAGTCTTATGCCAAGAGTAGTGTTTTGGCTGCGAAGACACTGCCTGGAATATTAGATGGAAAGCTTTACATTATCATTTTGTGCATGATTATAGAAACAGATTTTGC